TACCCTCAAGGTCTCCCTTAGCATTTGCTAACTGTAACCTGGTATAGATGTCCGGGATGCGTTTTTTGTCCACTTCATATGGGTTCTGATGTAGATAGCTACCTGTGGTTCTGTAGTGTAACTTCAGTGCATCTTTACATTTAGCAGCAGCAGCTTGGGATTGGACATCAGACGTAGAGCATTCTAGATATGAAATATCAAGGAAACAAAGAGAAACAAAGATAATTTTGTACTTTGTTTTTAACATAATTTGCAAATTAAAAGACCAATTTGAATAGTACCAGTTCTCCACACAGGCAACAATTCTGGATATACCCACTGAAACACCCCCAGACAGAGCAATGCTGCCCAGTCCATTTTTAAAAACTGTGAACTTTTATTGTCAAACTGTTGGCAAACATGTCCAATCCGTAAGGACAAAAGGCTTACAGTTGGTTGAAACAGCTTGCTTGGACTTGTAATTTTGAGTTTCACTATCAAACGGCTGATGAAAAAAAAACCGCAAGGCTCAAACACAAAACCTTCCATGTTAGAAATTGGAGAAGAAACTTCTCAGACAGATTCACACACGACATTTACAATTTCAAGAAAACAACGTGCCAGATGTTTCAGAAAATTTCATTGGCAGTACAAAAAACTTCAACTTTAAAAGTGAAATGCTGTCCAACGAAACCTAAGATATTTTATCCACATGAGGGAAAACATATTTCTGAAAATGTTGACTACCTGGTGTCAGTGGGTTTGAGACAGCACCCTGTGTGGTTGGTTGCTGTGATGTACTGGGTTGATTCTCTGACATGTCAACTGATGGTTGACCAGGCTGGAGCGATGTACGTGCACCACCTACAATCAAATCATGCAATACAAGTAGACAGGGACTAGGAATTACAATTTTTTTTAAATTTTCATTGCACTGAGACTCATATTGGACACCATATACACATTAGCTGTAGGGCCAAATTTCATGGTGCTGCTAAGCACAAGATTTTACGCTTAGCAAGTCTCTGAAAATTTCATGGAGACATGGGAAATAAGCAAAGAAAAAGGCACACTTCAAAAAGCTTAAAGAAAAAACAATCTTAGCCTGGTGACATAATAATGGAAATCTCAATTTTAGTGCTAAGCACAGGGCTCATGAAATGTTTGCTATAAAATAGAGCCTGAAAGCATGCAGCGAGCTTCTGGAGTCCAGGAGCGGCCAACCCATCACATTTGATGAGTTTTGGAAGAAATTGTTCCTAACTGAGCCTGAAAGTATGCAGAGAGCTTCTTTGCTAATGGACACTCACTGATATGTGAAAACAGAACAATCTTGGGAATCTTGTCAGGTTAAAGAGATCGAATTAAAAAAATCCGGAGAAACGAATTTGTCTTTTCATGTCAGAAAACTGACAGTTTGCAGTGCCATTCCAGTAACTAATGTTTTTTGTGCATCTAGACTTGTCAAAGTTTTCATTACCTGAAAAAAATGCTTATTCTATTTAAAGAGTTAGAGTCATCAGCCATCTACCTTCTAAATGTGAAACCTGTAAAGAAATGATAGATCATTCTTCCAACCTACTGATCTAGCAAAAAAAGAAATGTTTTCCTTTTGTCCCACGTGAACGAATGATGAACATACACGGCGAGTTGTTCGCACCTTGTCCTTGTCGAACTTCCTCCAGTGCTTTATGGAGATGGCTGACATCATCACCAGGCCTTTTTTGACTCCACGAGACCAGCATGTTGCAGATTTGTTCCACAACACTGTGGCGATAGTCTGCCTCGATGTGTGAGACTTCTGGTTGGGTGAAGCCAAGCCTTATTGCCAGTTCCTTCCATTCACATGCATGAATATCACGGGCTATGCTGTACAGGCTTTTATCATCGAACATCCCTGCAATAACAAAATGCAGACGGTTAAACAAACTTCCAAATCTCAGAACTCCACTGCACAATGCAAGCCAGAAACCTTGCTGAACCTAAATCATCAAAATTAAAATCAAACTCTTTCCAGTGGACATGTACCAACAAAGTCATACAATCACAGAGAAGGTTCAAGGTTACATGTGTATGTTCCTATGTACACATGGTGGACATACTTGTGTTTGCTTTTAACATTTCTGGTTTTTGTATGAAACAGAAAGTAAGCCCTCCCGCAAAGGAAGGCAACATTTATTTGGAAATGATACACTGTCCTAGAAGGTGAAGGAAACTTTACCTGTACATTTCATTCTGACCACTTCTGGTTTTGGTCCGGCAAATACCGCAAGTGGTTGGAAAATGGCAGCCAGACAGACTGCAATGTCACATTACACATCAGAGTCAACAATTTTTTCATGTAAACAAGTTACTCTTACTGTAAAATACATTACATGAACTCTATTGCCCAATAATCGGCAACTTTTCAGACTTGTCATTTGCACGTGTAGTAGCTTTTTTTATATAAATGAAAGTCATTCTTTCCAACACCTACATGACACCGCAAATATATAACACTGCAAATCTATGTAAATCTTCATTTGAAACGTTGAACAATCCGAGTTGAGTTTGGTGGGTCATATGTTAGCTTTTGTTGCCTAATTTTTGTTGAAAGTTGAAGATGGTGAAGTTTAAAGACTCCAATGATGTACAATTCTCTGCTTTTCTGCATCAAACAGAAAGCTAATTACACATTCACTGATAACCCCCTTGTTTCTTTCTGATTCGTGGCTCAGGAGAATAATTTTTCAGAGAAGTACATGTATGGGAACCATCCAGGAGACAACTAAAGTATGCGTAACTGTCACCTGCCATAAAAATAGAAACAGTATGTCATACTTGCACTTAGTATTTACCACTTGCTGCTGGGTGGATTTGTCTTGAGCAAGACAAGATGCCAGGTCATTTTCAAGATTTTTCGTTTTCAAAACTCTTCAAAAATTCATCATTTCATTTAATGGCCGTTTATACCAAAATGAAGGACTCTTTGGGCACTACTCTAAAGCTGACGGGTAAAATTCATTCACTCCTGAATATTTCAGCCAGGCCTGCAGCCTTGGAAAAAGAGCCCAGATTGTGCGATGTTACGTAAGATTCTTTTCAGAACCATACAGATTCACAAAAGAGATCGTATCCTTGCATGGTGCTACCGCAAGCTTTCCACCTTAAGATTCTTTTGTTCCCGAAACCGGCAAAGTGCACTGCTGACTTCTTTTCAATAGGGGCCAGATTAGCGTGCAGTGGTGCTGTGTGGCTCATCACTGCGGTGGTGGAGAGCTTTTGTCCCCGGTGGTAATCCGCTCGCTCTAAATGCCTCAAACCATGGTACACTGTTTCAAAACAAGGCTGGATTATCTCCACTACTGAGAGTCAAAAACGTTAGTAATGCTCTGCAGCTCAGTCTTTGTGCTGAGCACGGTCTTTTGTTATAAGGCCCAAATTTATCTTTTGTCCCAGTTCCAGGCTCCCCAGCTCTGCATATAAAGCCTATGTACCCGAAAACGGGTCGTCCAGCAGGTAGTGGTTAAAGCCCTATGCAACGTTTGCAACAAATTAAAGACAGTGTCTCCTCATTAATTAATGAAATTACTTCTGTTCCTCACCGGTCGTCTGGTCCTGGTTGTCTGGTCTCCTGACTGCCTGGGTACGTTCCTCCATCTGTTGTAATTAATAATGAAATACATTTTATTCATTTTTTTCACCATTTGTACTGTGACTGACATATCCAGTCACGACTCGACATAAAGAAGAAAATGGCTGTTCATTCTGGGGGGTCTGCATGGATCCTTCAAATATCAAAAACTGATACATACCAACCCAACCATTTCTGGAACCTCTTCATTTTGCTTCTTTTTCTTGCTGGTTGACGGATACTGCCTGGACAAGTCAGTATCATCCATGTTGCAACCTCTACCAAAAATTCAATTCAGCTACATGTATGAAGTCCAGGAATCAGCCCAATGCCTCGTAGGTCTGACCCCAAATGAAATTGACACCTCGTAGGTCCAATCAAATTTACTTTTAATTCTGTTCATAACAGTTCATAACGTTCATCACAGTGTTTGGTACTGTGAAATCAAACAGGGAATTCCCCATGTCAAAGGAAGAAGGAGTCAAAAGAAAGAAAATGTCAAAATGAATAAAAATAGATTCTCCCAGCTATGTGCTGTAATGTTAACAGCAATACTGACTCTAGCCACTGGCTGAATGGGTAATTAATGAAGCTCTGAATTATTGTGGGGTGCAAATAAATTAGCCACTTTTTTCAAGTTGAAAAGTGCAAATTTAAACAGAAATTCAAAGAAGTACTGGATTTTTCACACAAAAAACCTTGGCACAAGAGAAGGATAAGTCAACTGTGATAAAGTGTTGTGAAAAATGAGTGATACAGAAATTGTTGGTGTTACAGGTTACAAGGCAGACTTGGAAATGACATCTTGATGTTGCATAACATGATCCTTTTAAACACAGTTTTCAGTCTGGGGCCTGTATTCATGCGGAGTCGAAAATATTTAGATAGTTGTTTTTTTATTTTTTGGAGGGGGGAACTGACCAGTTGTAAATTAGCATAACAATTAAAAACTTGCAACAAAAGTTGGAAGGTCCCTAGCATGCCTAGCCCAGGTTGGACGACTTGAGTCGACTATCAACGCTTGCCACAGTCGACGCATTTCGACCAACGGCGTAAATATTAATGCAATGAAGACGTCGTCCAGGATCCCAAGCTTTTGGGTCATTAGCAACAAATTAAACTTACCAACAGAACTTACGTGTAGCCTTCAAGTTCAACTAAGAGGCCTATCACAACTGAATTTAATAGTCCAAGCTGCGACCGGCGTACATTGATCATGATGCACAAGAATCCTTTTGGCCACCCTCAACTTAAATTCCAAGTTCAAACTCAATGCTTCCACTTAAAAGTTTAATACTTAATTACGGTCTGCCGCCCCGCGCCCGTATCAGAAATTTACCGAAGCGACTGTTCAAGTTCACGGCGGCACGGGCTATAGCACTCGGCCGAAAAGGTCATAGATTCTACTACAAGTTAAACATAATCGTGGCGACCATGCTTTAACTGTAATTTAGGGTAAATTTCAGTAAAAGAGCGAAAATCAACAAATCTTTTGCAGGGATTCGAGGCAAAGTCCAAAGTTTGTGGTGCTCTCCGTGATTTTATTTCCTTGTGTTGGTCATTGAACCTTCATCGAGAGGGCGCTGTTTACAGGCAAACAATTAAAATGGAGAGGCTGTAACGTGTAGCGTACGTTTCATTCATTTGTTTTCGGTTTGAAAACGAGTACCAACAACCCAAAACAAGTCGTTTTCTGTTTTCCGATTTGAAATCGAAATATGAAGAAAGTACGAAGAATTCCTTTCCTGTTTTTCCTGCTTAAAACGGAAAAGGAAAGTAATCCTCTTTTAATGCTATAATCCCAATTTTGTTTAACTTCACACGGAATTCCTTGGAGGTGTAGCGGCCGTGCGGACGTCTCCCATCGGAGCACCTTTCAAGATTTTTGAGAGTGTGAAAAATTTCCTTGTGATTTGCTCCTTTTTTTACTTTAGAAGCAAGGAATTCCTCGTATTCCTCTATGTTCAGCCATGTCTGATTCGATTTCTCACAAATACATTTCTAATATTAACGGGACGTATATCAGGTTGGCAAGCTTGGTAGTTCTTTCCTCGACCCCGCCACCTTTTCTGCGGCCCGGGATTTATTGGCTCGATCCATGTGGATTGGGTTTTCAGTTCCTGATTCTGTAGCTTTTATCGAGAAATATCTTCTCTTGGGTTTTCCTCCCACATCTAAAACTGTAACTTCTTTTTCTAATCCTCGTCACAGATGTACTTGGTTAATATGGGTCACTTAATTGTTCGCTGCCTGAGGTCGCGTCCTTCGTTGTGATCGGCGGCCGAACCAGGGTTATTGTCTGCATTGTACCCGGCCACGTTTAGGAAATTTGCTCTATAAAATGAATAAATTTTCATAGGCCCTACACGAGGCAAAATAGAACCACTTTTTACTTTATAAAATTAGGGAACAGCTTACGTTGGTGTTCGTTTTTGCATTAACAAACGAAAAAAAAAGTGATTTCAGTTTTTAAATGAAAGACTAGAAACAACTTTTTCCTGTTTTGATTGTTTCTTGTTTTCAAATCTGAAAACGAGAAACGACTCCTTTTTCGCTTTTTCATTTTGCGTTCTCAAATCAAAAACAAGAAACGACATGGTTTCTGATTTTCATAAAAGATCGTTTCAAATCAAAAACGGAAAACGATTTTTCTGTTTTGTTCGTTGATTTTCGTTTTCAAAACAAAAACTGAACGAACAAAGCATACACAGACCCTATATGAGTGGAGGCAGGGCTACGTACGAAGTGGCATAAATCTGGGGTGGATACATTCCCAAGTCCAACTTACGCTTGCACTACCACACAAACCCCGAGAAAACAGTGCTAAATTAGAACGAAACAGCACCGTACATCTCCGATCTGAGTCGCCCAGTAATTAACCCCCTGTCGACCGACCGTGTCCAAATGTTTTTTAAAAAAGGCAATTTAAATTAGGGCCCAAATTACTGGGACCATAGGCCTAGATGGTAAAAGTTGTTTGCATGGAATTCGGACATGGACTGGCACAGCGGCACTGGTACTGTGGTAGGCCTACTACGTTGATGTTGAACTAAAGTGAACTTTTCCAGACATGCAGCAGACTTCACAACATGGACATTGAAATTTTTAAGCCCAAAAGGTCTCAGATTAGTCATTATGCTAAGAACAACAGTCAAAAACAGAAAAAGGCCGAAAATGAACAAACCTTTTGGCGACATTCATGGTGAAAGTCAAGCTCGCTTTCGAAAACTTTAATTTCTCTGCAGTTACTTCCTGGTGATGGTCGTTGACCCCTTTGATAAGGCGCGTCACGGTGTACCTGTACATACGTATGTGCAGTCGCACCGAAGCAAAAAGGCCAAAAAATATCTATCCGACGAGCCATTTATGAAACATAATTAAACATTCAATTTTCTAGTCTATTACAGATTCCTGAGAGCCATGGAATTGGAGATTCAAGAAATATTGCACAGAAAATATGGCACAGAACCTCTGGCCCGGACTCAGGCCTTGCAGTTTTGAGCAATTTGGATGCAGTTGGGTCCAAAAGTGGCACTATTTAGCCGTTTTGCACAGAGATGCATTTTCAAAATGCCCACTTTTCCGGGCAGTGAAATTTCCTTCGTTTTAGGAGTGGTCTGCCGAGGGGTAGAAATTCTCTAAAATTCATCAGTCAACCCGCTTAAAAATAGAAAAGAAATTTAAAAAGGACGTGTCGATCATCGTTTTCTGTCCAGCCTGGACACTACTGTCTTGTGAGGGTTGTATTTTAAAAATGATTTTGAAATATAAGCGCTTTCTGTGGGAATTCATTTTGGGGTGCCAGTACGCACGCTTAAACGGAGGGGGCGGGGCTAAGACTTTTTTTAACGCATCGCTCTCACCTATACACTGTACATTTACTTTGCAGAGCTTTCACATAAACACAGCCACATATAAATAATAATGTAAGGAAAGGTCTTATGCGATTTTATTAAACTATACTAGAAAGAGTACAGTGCCTGAAAGTTGACCCCTGATGGCGCCCTTCCGGAACCCTTGGATAGAAGACGTAGGCCTACAAGGATTTTAAAACTTGTGATTTTCGCCCAGTTCTTAAAAAGTGCAACTCGGAAAAGAGGCTTTGGGAAAATATTTGCCAGTATATCAATTTATTGAAGCTGAAAAATCACCTGACCTAAAAGAGAAATATCCTGCCAAAAATTGACGTATCTCTACGTGACTTTTCCTAAATATTACTTGAGGAGGACACAGTTAAATTTACAACACGAGTGTTTCATGGGGTACTGGTTTCAGTTGGGATTTATTCTTCAAAAACCTGATAGGCCTAGGTCGGCCCAATCCCTGTAGGCAGAGTGCGCGAGGGTTCAGTCGTGTGAGGGAGACAGCTTGGGCAACGAACTTAGAACTAACAGTCATTACTCAGAAAAAGATCACACAACGTATTTTGATGTTTCCACCTTTTTTTTTACTTAATTCATCCGAAATGTTGTTCATGACTTATTACAATTAAAAGTTACTTGTTATAAAAGCAAATCACCCACTTCCATAAAAAGGACCAACTACCTTTCAAAGTCAAAACCACGCTGGTCCTGGATTCAGTGCCCACTCAGAATCTCACGTGAAGTACTCCATGAAGTACTACTTGGTCAGGTTTTTAATTTGGCATCAAATTCCCAGCTCGCTATTAAGAAATTAAGTTGCTTACACTTTTTTCCAACTTTATTGACAATAGGCCTACTTGTAGTGTGCGGCAAATTCAATTCAACTGCAGTGTATGCGGTGTGCACGTCTGCGCACAATTACATTTTAAATCAAACTACATCCAGTGTCGGAAAGTTTTACAGTTAATGTTCTTGAAATTAACCAAGGGCATGCCTTGTTTAGAGAGTACCTCTTGGGAAATCACATTTTCTCCGACTCGCTCAACTATAACAAGCTTAAAAGGGCTTTTTCTGTTCACACCAGAATGCGAATTCTGAATGTAGATTGCGTCATTCTGAGAAAACAGAGAAAAAGAGGGAACCCTCGCCCTGTGTTCGTAGTGGATAAACCCTTGTGCATGCCAAACAATGGTTACATGCATTATAAAGCTCTTTCGTTTCTTCACATCTCAACTCAATAACTGCATTATTTCCAATACCCCTATATCTGAGAGAACTCTTGGTTCTACATGTACATACGTGCCGCTTCATGTGCAGTGTTGATATCGTCAAGTACCAACTATGAAGTACTGATCATCCGTGGAATTCAATTAATTCAGCGGCTGCCAACAATTTGTGATTGAATTTTTACGAAAAAAAAACCACTAAAAATACAGGAATAAAACGTACATGAATCTGAAATTCTGATCATTTGTTACAACAATATAATATCGGGCTATTTACAAAATTACATACATGTACATACTCTAGAACAACTGGCATTCTTTTCATGTCTGCACTTTTCATGGCATTCTTTATGCAAAGACCATGCATCGTTTGCTTAAGTCTGGCTTTGTACAAATGATACGCAAAAGAAAAGTTGAGCTGCATTATTCCCAGATTACAAAACTTGCTCTATTTAGAAAATAATACACATAAAAGAGGTTCTCTTGGCTCTTCATATTGGAAGTTTTCAACTTATCCTTCCACTATTGACATTTATCTTACAAATACAAGTCTCTTCTTGTCTGGCTATTTATAGATGATCCAAAAATAGAAAAGTAGAGATCTGTACACTTGCCATTTCAACTCAACCACTTAAATATTTCCAAGACCACAAAACTGACACAACTCCTGGTTCAGTGTATGTGTTTAAACGGGCAAAAGTGTTGATATCAAGACACTATGGGGTAATGATCATACATCTAATTACAACAGTTACCAACTGTCACAGTCAAGTTGCTAGGATACAGTGAGAAGGTTTCTCATCATTCACAGATTCCATAGAAGTCAATGCCACCACCTCCCTCTTGCCTCCTCTGTACAAGATCCTTCCCAATCAATAGTCATAGAGTTTGGTACATTTAATAAGCAGAGTTCTCTTCAAAAGTTTGCAAGATGCCATGACAATGCTGCTTTTTCTCAAGTCCACAACAAGGGACACAGCCCCAGAGACTGTACCCCAAGGTACCCGAGGTTTCATGCATTGCAATAGCAGAAATTATGTAATAGCTTCACAATTTCCAAAACCATAAACTTTTAAATTATTCCAAATGATTTGAGAAGACAGGTTTCAGAAAATGATGAAGCCACTTTTCCTCTACCCGTGCTTTTTTACCGCTGTGCATAAGGTGGAGGCAACTGTGGGGAAGGAGACCATAGGAAAGTGCAGGTATCAGTATATTTAGGGATTACTTGAATGGCTCTCGGCAGGTATTACTATTTGAAGTGACTTGTACATATCCACATCCACACACGTAACGGGCGATATGAAAGCACACATACATGTACATGATACAGGCAGAGCCAAGTGTTCAACCAGAGGCTGCTGGTAGGTACCTGGAACTCACTCCCCCAGGGGCCTTGGTTTCACATGGATTTGGATCGCAATCAGAGATCTTGATGGTGTTTGTACCATCCGTAAGGCGGGTTTTGGTGTCTGTAAACCAAGGATTACTGATTGTGAAATAAGCACAGCCTAGGACAAAAACAAAGGAGTGGAAACGCACAGAGACATGGTTACGGAAAGATCCACTTATAATGGGCCGAGTGTGTGCAGTCAGAGGCTGGTAGATAACTGGAACTTACTCCCTCAGGACAAAACAAAAGCTGTAAAAACCCACAGAAACATGGTTATGGAAAGATCCCCTGTATGGACAGAGTGTGTTCCGTCAGAGGCTGGTAGATGACTGGAACTCACTCCCCCAGGGGACACATAAAGCAGAAACAGAAATACACAAAGACATCAGACAATTAGTAGGAGCTCTTAGCGTCAAAAAAGGGCAGTGTCGTGCATTAAGACTCACTGTGTCCAAAATCTCAGAAAAGGTCAAGAATGATGCCAGGATCAAATTTAGGGTGAGAGGCAAATTCTAGCTGGCCATTAATTAGGCCTAATTAAATAATTAAGGCCTTAATTAGGGCGAAATTGTAACATCCGACTGGCCATTGACAACAGCTCACAAGAGGGCGATGGAGAGACGATGATGAGGAAGATCCAGTTAATGTGCGGCAAATCTCTGGTTATCATAATCCATTCTACGACGGTTGAACCTTGGTTTGAATATGAGGAAAGCACATGGGTCATTATCTGACAGTTCCTCGGGTTTCTCGTGGAGAATCAACTTCCTCAGGACCTTGAACTTCTTTATTTCCGCACAAAATGACCTCGCTAAACCACCCAGGTCATTATGAGAAAGATCCAATGTAACCAAGTTGGGCAGACCACTGACTGACCTGGCAACACATACCATATCCTGTCCATTTAATGAGCAGTCACTCATTTCCAGGCAACAGAGTGGTTTGCATTGTCCCACCTGCTTGCTCCATAATGCTGCTGTACCACCCAGGTCATTGAAAGAAAGATCCCATTCAACCAAGTTGGGCAGAACACCGAGTGACTTAGCAACACGTACCACAGCCCGCGCATTCAATTTGCACCAACTCAAGTCCAGGCGCTGCAGTGCCTTGTACTGCCCCAACTGCTTGCACCACGACGCTGCCGTACCACTCAGGTCATTCTCAGGAAGAGCCAATGTAACCAGGTTGGGTAGACCCCTGAGTGACTCAGCAACATGTACCATGTCCTGTCCATTCAACGAGCAGCCAACCAAGGTCAGGTCCTGCAGTGCCTTGCACTGCCCCAACTGGTTGCACCATGATGCTGCTGTACCACCCAGGTCGTTGTAAGACACACACAATGTATCCAAGTTGGGTAAATCACAGAGTGATTCAGAAACAATTAAAAAACCCCTTGACTTGAGACTTACCGACTTTACTTTAGCAAGGTAAACATTGCCACTGTCCTTTGTCACCTGAGCAACGCGCTGTACAAAGTACCTGAGCGAGTTTTCACTATCATTGTTAAGATGGTCAATTTCAATGAATTTAGTTAGAATCGAACTCATGAATGTTTCAGGAGGCAAACATTTGCACTGACCTTCAAAGTAACAGTGAAGTGCCAAGTGACACTCACGAGACAGTCCCATCCGACGCTTCACCCGAAATACCTTCAGTATTTCCAATGTACATGCCTCATTGTCACCACAGCAAAAACGCAGAAGATACTCAAAACCTGATGGGTCCTTCGACATGATTTCATTCACAGAGCTATGAAACTCTTCTGTGTTTGCTTGAAACAGAATTTGCAAGTATGCAGCAGCACAAAATTCCTGGAATGTCTTATGAATGAACTGCACGCTGTTGTAAGGCTTTAGTCTCTTACAGACTCTCTGTCTTGTCAGAATGCCAACTTTTAGAGCTACGTCAAAAACATTTCGTTCAAAATCACTTTCCTTGAAAGTGAGCTCTTGCTGAGGAGAGAGAAGGCCACGTAAACCAACCTTGCCGAGTGCTATCACAACCCTGGACATTTCTTCTTCAGAAACCTTCTTTCTTTTTGCAATGTATTCAATCGCATTTTGATAAAGGCGTGACATTGTTTCTGGGAGTGTGGAGTCTTCTCTCCACAGTAGACACATCAACAGGAGCAGCATTGGACTCTCTGCCAAAGTGGACAGGTTATCAGAGGATCCAATCCTTTCCAGAAGCCCCTTTGCCTTGTCAGGTTCATCAGAGTAATATCTCTGAACATACTCTTCAATGCTGTCTTTATCAAACCCCAGTACCCGGACATGTGTGAATGGTTCTTGAACCAGTTCGTTTGTTATCAATCTGTGCAAGTGTGAGGGGCGGGTGCTGACAAGTACAGTACAGCCTCTATACGACTTTCTACTCAGGAGCTTCAGTATGGAACCGAATGAGGATTCACTAAGGGAGGTGGTCTCCAACTCATCAAAGCCATCCAAAAGAATAAGGACTTTGTCACTATCCTTTTCAATATATGATTGCAGATCACCTTTCTCTATGTGTTTAGCAATGTTTTCAGCTATGAGTTGGTCAAACACTGCATCAATGAGATCTGACGCCTGCTCCAAATAGCTCATTTTCAAAAGGAAGACCAGTTCATACTTCTGCAGTGCCTGACTACAGTCAACTGCCCAATCATAGGCAATCTTGTCATAAAGAGTGCTCTTTCCTCTACCAGCCAAACCACCGAATACAGCTATTGGGATCAGATCACCCTCTCTTGTTTTTAGGACTAAGATATCCTCATAGGACACCAGTGTACCCCTACGGTTTCCCTTAGCATTTGCTAACTGTAACCTGGTGTAGATGTCTTTGATATGTTTCTTGTGCTCATCACACCAAGGGTTCAGCTGTACATAGCTACCTGCGGTTCTGTAGTGTAACTTCAGCGCATCTTTACATTTAGCAGCAGCAGCTTGGGATCGGACATCAGATGTAGAACATTCTAGATACGAAATACCACGGAAACAAGAGAAGAAACAAAGAACATTTAATGTACGCTATTTTTCTAATTAATTAGTAAATCAAAGGACCATTCGAATAGCACCAATCCTCAAATATTTCCATAAGGGCAACAGTTCTGGTTACAACCATAGAAAAACCCACAAAAAGAGAGTTGCTGCCCAGTTCACTACTAAAGGTCGGAAGTTTAATGTAAAACTGACGGCAAATCTCCCCTGTCCAGATGAGAGCTCCAAGTTGGTTGCAACAGTTTGCTTATAATAATAATTATAACCTGGGATTTGTAATTCTGAATTTCATAATCGAATGGTTGATGAAAAAATATCCGGCAAGATTTAAACACAAAGATCTCCTTGTTAAAAACTGAAGAAACTTTTCACACAGATTCAGACATGACATTTGAAATTTTAAGAAAAAAACCCCAGATGTCTCAGGAAATTTCACTGGCAGAAAAAACCTTCAACTATCAAGTGAAATACTTCTAAGCATAAACTCAGATATTTTATCCACATGATGTACCGCATATTTTGTAATAATATTGACTACCTGGTGTCAGTGGGTTTGAGACAGCACCCTGAGTGGTCGGTTGCTGTGATATACTGGGTTGATTCTCTGACATGTCACCTGACAATTGACCAGGCTGGTGTGATGTGCGTGCACTGTCTACAGGTGTAATCATTTAAACATACAAAAGAAAAGGAGTTGATCAGTTGGGAATATTTAAAACAGAGAAATTGGTGCCAAAACTTGAGCAGAAAAATGTTTTCATATGTTACCATAATGAATATTTTATTTCCTTAAGACATGACAAACTACGTTTACTCTATGATACATCAGCAAATGAGTCGGCAATGCCAATCACAAAGGTGGTTGGAATTCACTCTACAGTTTCCTCTTCTTTGTCGAATTGCCTTAAAGTAATTATAATAATCAAGAAGGTGTGAACAAACTCCAACACTGTCTACTGTGAAGTTACGGTAAATTTACTGTTCAGAAAACCTAGATCAACACAGAAACCTGATGGTATCTGCACACAGGTTAGAGAACCAGTGCCTATGGCAGACACAGGATGGATACCTTTTGATTGATAGATATTGATGGTGCAATCTGTTGGGTTGTTGATTGGAATGTTTCCAGAGCCTGACACCTGGTGCTGTGTCTGTAACATCTGTTGGAAGACTGCAACGGGTACCGGAACTGGGAAAGGACAAAAAGGAAACAAGGACGAATTGTGAACCAAACTTCTGGGTTGGAACGGAATGTTTTTCTTCTTATTCCACATTTCAAGGGGTAACCGAAAATGTCTGAAACCTTTTATGTCATGTCTGAGGGGTTAGAATGAATTTGGAGCTTTGTCAGTGTTAAGAAAATCGAGGGGGTGAACGAGGAAACCTTTTATTCATTACATGAACTCTTTTTAAAAATGACAAAACAATTTCCCATTTGGGGAAAGAAGGCCACAGTACCTGCTACCTACTTCGATCCACGAAAAAAGCTCATCCTAAACTGTCAAGACTTAGAATTCCAGCCTGCATAATTTAAAATAAGAGTGTTTGCTCCTGATTACCTATTATTTGGTCCTGGTTGTCT